ATGTGGTGTGTTGTCTTTGCGATGTTCTGACATGGACAGGTGTTATTTGTAAGCTATCTGATGACTACATACAATGTTTATTCATTAGTTCCTGTCCTAAGTGGTGTTGCCAGAGGTTTCTCTCCTGCCTGGTCCTGCAGACATTCAGTCCCAAAGAAACACACAGAGGTCTACATTAATTATAAACTGGGTGACATATTTGCTCAGGCTTCTTATTAACTAATTCTTGCATTTTTAAATTAGTCCATTATTCTTGTCTATGTTAGCCACATAGCTTGGTACCTTTTATTAGTGAGGCATTCTCATCTTGCTTCCTCTGTGTCTGGCTTCCTCTGTGTCAACTGCAGAAAGAGTCTTTCCTCTTCCCAGAATTCTCCTGTTTTGTCACCACACCAATACTTCTTTCCTGGCTACTGGCCAATCAGTGTTTTATTAAAATACAAGTGACAAAACTTTACAAAGTATAAGGCCATTGTCCCACAGCACTCCCCCCCCTTTTTTTCAAAACAAGGACTCTGACTCTAATCTCCCTTGTTTAGCTTTCTTTCTGACCATTATTCATAACAACTTGTAACCAACACTCTAAACAAAGGAAAACATCCACAATCCATTTTTGGAGGAATGTGGGTATAGTTTTCTAGGTTACTTGCTGCTGATTGGGGGTGCTGTTAATCTTTTGGGAATCTAAAGAAAATTTAAGATTATGGTCAAATCCTGACTGGAAAATTCTGTGAGGCTTCATCATCTCAGCCAGCAGTCTTGAGACTATGATGTAGAACTCAGACATCTGGGCCATCTGCTCCTATTGGAGATTTCTCAAGGAGCCTGCCTTAATCAAACCTTATTTTTCTTAATCCAGGATGAATCCACAGCCTCTCACTTCCTGTGGAAATAAAGCAAAACCTATTCTTTAGAGTAACATATTTTTTGACTTAAATTTTGAAGTCCAGGCATTTTCAAAATACATTGGTTCGATTAATCCAGCAGCATTTATAATCAAATGTCTTTTAACAGCTGTTGCTCCTTCCTCAGTCATCAAACAATTCAAAGACAACACAATAACATACAGTATCCAGACTCTCTATGTATTTTCCATCTTTATGTGGCTTTATTTTAAATTCTATTTTTTTTCTTTTTAGTTTTAAATTTTTTTTTGATACTAGGCTTCTCTGTGTATCTTTGGCTGTCCTGGCACTTACTCTGTAGACCAGGTTGTCCTTGAAATCATAAATACCAAGAAACCATGATAGCCCATGCCATTGCTTTACCTTTGGGACTTTTAGGAATTCAAAGTAGAAAGCAAGTAGGATTTCCTGAGATTCACAAAGTCAAAGTGTGTCTGGGATCCTGTCTCTTGAGACGTTGATAGGTACAGCCACTGAACCATCCCTCAAGTACAATGGCCTAATCCAAACAAAAGGACTGGCATATTTTCTCATAAGGACCTGCTGATTAAGTGCCAAACTAAACAGAATAGAATCAGAATATGTCTGCCTTGTTTTTCTTTTCTTCTTGAAACTGATGCTCTCAAGCAAAAGAGCAGTCATTGAAATTACTTCATGCATGAGACCATAATAAGCACAATTCAATTTCCTTATTTTCAGTTATTTCCCTGCTGAGAACTAACTCTGGATACATATGCTTAGAAAACTAAGTGAGATACCCTTCTCATTTTATGAGGGCTGGGTGACTTTTCAATAAACAAGGAGTTTCACTCCAGCTAGAGTACTTGTTCCTATTCTTCCTTGAACAGTAGTGCCATTATTCGTGTGTACTTTCCCTTTGATGATCAGATGTGCATGCGAAGCACAACCTCCATCAAGGAGATTTATTTTATTTCCTATATCAAACGCAACTCCCAACTCCCACACTGAAAAACAATGTTTGAGCTTTAAATTTTTTTCTTTTTGCAAATGTAGCCGAATTAAATACAATTAGGAAATTAAATAAATAGCACAATGAATGAATTTACCTTAACAGTCAGTCTGGCAAAATTTAATATACAAACTTAAGAGCCCAAGTACATTATTAGTGATGATTGAGTTATAACATATAAAATTAAGAAAACATATAAAAATTGAAAAACTGACCTAACTTGAGTATGACTAAACAAGCTGGAAATCTTGCCTTCATTGTTGCTTATTCATTAGATGGTATCTGCATATAGCACCTTATACATCACAGCCTAGGAAGATGCAAAAGCAAACACATTAGGATTTTGCTTAGTATGATCTTGCAGTCAAGGAATGGGTAAAGCCCAATAATTTAAATACATATATAACAACATAAACTTACAGTCCTACTATATAGCCATGCTACAGGCACAAGCATGAAGGAGGAAATTGACAACTTAAATGTAAGCAGAGCTTATCCAAGCAAAAGAGAAAGGAAACATTAGTTGAAGTCTGGGAAATTAATTTAATGATTGATGGGTAGAATCCAGTGACAAGAGTCTAAGTACATGTTGAGTTGAAAGATGTGTTAAATGGTAGATACAAGCACCAGGTGACTTTGTGGACATTCTTAGTGATTATAGGAGCCTCTTTGTCTTTGAAGTAATCATCCAATAATATCGGACCGAGGGGGAGAGCATGTAATGGTCACACACACACACACACACACACACACACACACACTTTTTTTTATATACAGCTTCAGCTTCAGTCATAACTAGCACTACTGTTATGCTATTCACGTAAAGATAAGAAATACATACATGACATTAGAGTTGTTTTTCTTACTTAAGTTGAATTGCTCACTCTTAAACCACTCACAAAGGACTTAGCAATATGTTTAACCAGCATTTCCTGAAACATTTCTCTTGCCTCACTCCTTAACATATGGAATCTAGGGAGAAATTCCTCAGTAAGAATGGAAGGTCAAGTTTTGTGTTTTCGTTTAGAGAAGAAAGCAGTCTAGCAGACAGGAGAAAGTGTTCTCCTATCTCTGTATTAATTTCTGCCTCTGCGTTGGAAACCACCTTAATGCATTGCTGCTCGCTTTATGTCACTAGCCCCTGCATCTGTCACAACTCCACAGTCTTGATGAACCATAGTTTACCCTGTTACAGTGACTGGGCCAGGGTTGAAGTGAATAAAGTAGGAACTCCTTGATCTTCCTTACTACTTGTAACGCAACTTTATATTTGGAAATAAACCAAAATGTACATAGAATTGATGGTTTCATTTACAATAAGTTTTTGTAATTGATTTTTATTGAGTTCTACATTTTTCTCTGCTCCCCTCTCTGCCTCTTCCTCCCTGCCACTTCAATCCTCCCCCAAGAAGATCTTTTCTTTTTTCTACTTCCCATGTAGATTAAATCTATGTAAGGCTCTCTTGGTGTCCTCATTTGTTGTCTAAGTTCTCTGGAATTGTGATTTGTGGACTGGCTTTCTTTGCTTTATGTTTAAAAACCATTTATGAGTAAGTACAGGTGATACTTGTCTTTCTGGGTTACCTCACTCAATATGATGGTTTTTCACCTTGTCCATTTTCCTGCAAAATTCAAGATTTTTTTTCTGCTATGTAGTACTCCATTGTGTAAATGTATCACATTTTTCTTATCCATTCTTAGACTGAGATAACAATAGATGAGTGCATTTATATACTTGCATCCTAAAAAATGTTCTTTGGTGCCTAAATAAATGGCCCTCATTTAATTGGCACACATGTATGTCAACAGATAGTATGCTGTGTCACAGAACAGGCTTGAAACAGGAAGGGTGCCTTGCGTGTCCTAACGTCATACACTGACAAAATAACATTCTTGGAGGAAGTAAGCCCTTGTTTCTGTATGTCAAGTAATTTTCATTTAGTGAACTAATATAATTGAAAAGCTAATTTATAATTAAAATATAAGTTGATAAAAAGAATTTTCAAAATATTGACTTTTGAGTTCTATACCATGATTATGGAATCTTTTTGATGAAAATTAGACTTTAGTCAATGTATTTGAAATAGTAACTGCATAAATCATTGGAAGAAGTTTCTTCATGGACTATTGAAAGTACAGTCATTTATAGAGTACCTACTATCTACATGATTATGCTCATAGTTTATTCAATGATAAAATTATTAGAGAGTGGGTAGAACACACATACTTATATTCTCACTCTTCATTCATTGATAAAAGCTACACTTCTTAACCATTTTGATAGTCCTGGAGAAAGAGTTCTCTCTCTCTCTCTCTCTCTCTCTCTCTCTCTCTCTCTCTCTCTCTCATATTTACTTTTACTTTCTTTTTCTTTATATCGCATAGAGTGGTTGGTGAATATGTAGTTCATTGAGAACCAAAATGTTTTCTTTTCTAAATTGAGAAGACCTTAGATAATACAAAAATTACATTTTCAAACATAAAACTACAGAATAAACCAAACTAAAAGAAGGATAAACCAAATTTTTCCATTTAAAAATATTCTGTTTACATTAAAGTTAAAAATGTATACAACTATTATCTTGTCAAAATAGTAGTCACATTGGGTGTATTTCTGGTTCTAAGCAGAAGGGTGCGACGGAGACTACAGGGACGGGGTAAATATGTTTCTGGTTATAGAACCTGGTCACTTTGAATAGGTAACTTATGGATCATGTTCATTTGTTTTGTGTCTATATTTTATACTTCAATGTATGATTAAATCATACATTAAAAAACAATGTATGATTAAATGTAAAAATTAGGGAACGAAGAATGAAAAGCACTCAAATTCCCTTACCATGAAAAGCACTCAAATTCCCTTACCTTAATCCAATAATATCTGAAGGGTTTCACACACTTTATCTGCATTGCGTGGAGCCTGGAGCTTGTGCAGCAGCAGAACCAGTGTTGAACTTAGATGTGTAATCTTCTGGCCCCCTATCTTGTGGGGGTCCATAGATGTGTGATCTTCTGGCCCCATATCTTGTGGGGTCCACAGTTTTCTTTCGTTTTCAACCTCGAGCTGTAATGACTTGAAGCCTGCCCACCTACCTTGGAGAACTAACACTGCTCCCCTATTGCAGGCGAACTGTGCGAGGAAAAACTGGACTTTTGTGCCCAGGACCTGAACCCCTGCCAGCATGACTCCAAGTGCATCCTGACACCAAAGGGATTCAAGTAAGTCTGAGGCCACTAGGGGCTCACGGTGAGGTGGAGGTTGCTTGGGGAGGGGGTTTCATTGAGGAACCTGTCTCCTCCACCATCCTTCGCTGCATACTTTTACTGAAGATTAAAAATGGGTCACACATACCCTGGTGCTTGTGACAGACATGCATATATTTCTGTGCATCATGGACCTTTATTAGCACACTGGGGAAAAAAGCAAACAGGGAAACTTTTTGTTCCTCATGATGTCTGGGAAGCCCTTTATGAAATGGAATAACCATTAAATTGTCTTTATTGCACTTATGTAAAGGCCAGTCCAATTAAGTTTCTAATATCCCCCAGGTAAACTTATTTTAAAATTGAGAAACTGGTTCTGATGTACCTGAAAAGTCTATGGTCTAAAACAGTCAACTGACTATCTAGGCAGGGAAAAACACTGTGACACTGTGGCCAGGTTACTCCGGACATTCCTAGCTTGTGTCTGTTCTCTTTATGAAATTATTTAACTTGTTTTTGAGATCTCAGGCTTCCCATTCACACTTCATAGAGATCTCTCTCAAGTGAGCTAAAATATTTATCAAAATCATTCCCCCCCCCAGCAGTATTTCTGAAATATGTGTGGCACCAAATCAGATGATACTTTTGCTGCAACCTTAAAATATATTAAGGAGCTATCAGGAATTTTAGAGTTGGCAGTAACTTAAACATCATCCAGACTAAATTCTTCATTTTTGAAGTATTTTTAATTACTTAACTTTACCCAGCCTGATTACATCTCCCCTTGTCTCCTCCCAGGCTTGCCCAACAACATCCCCTCCCGCCCACCCAATGCTCTTCATTTCTCTTTAGCAAAGGCCAGGCCTCCCATGTATATCAGCCAGCCATGGCATATCAAGTTGCGGTAAGACTGAGGAGATGACTCACAACCAAAAACGTAAATTCTTTGTTTTAAACATAAGGAAATATTAGCCCAGAGAAGTCAGATAGCTGTGCAAAGACCACATGCTTATTGGTAGAACTGAGACTTGATACTTTGCAGATATGTGATTTGTGGAATCCATATTTCTACTAACAGGTTTTCTGGTTTATTAGTAACACAGATGGCTTGGAATCAGGATAGACTAGATTTGGGGGATGACACAGCTATATTCAGGAATTAAGCCATGCTTGCATAAGACAAGTGGCAAAGGCAACTTCCACTTCATCAGCCAGTGTTTATGAAGTATCTACTGTCAAAGGTTAAACTGAATTAACTGATTTTAGAATTTTCTTTTGACAGTATCATCAGTTAGATTGATTTAAAACCAAAGTTTTTAGAATACATAGAGTTTAGGCATATACCTATTATATTCACTACTGAGAAGGAAAGGCTGTTGATCTCAGTCCATCTTTCATTGTTTCAATTTACAATTCTAGACCAAAACTGAAATTCTTGTTAATTTTTTTTATTTTATGCACAATGCTACATTGCATTTTATTCTAAAAAACTCTGGAGATAAACTGCTTTAATTCCCAACGGCTTTGATCTGCCCGCAGTTAAGGTTCGCAGGTCAAAACTACATCACTTATGTGGATCAAGACCCACCACTTTGCAGAGTGTTAACAAGGATGCTTTCCTGGGACAGTGTATCTGATAAACAGATTTCACGGGACTTTGTGTAGTTCTAAGACAAGTTATTAGCGAGACTTAATGGAAACAATCTTAAGCGAGGAGAGCTTGTCTTAAGCAAAGGACTGGGTCTTAATTAAGCATTTTCTATTACTAGCAATTAGGTTGCATACTCTCAAGAGTTTGCCTTGCTGGAGTCTGGAAGGATGGATTTGAAAGCCCACTGCTTTCAGCAGTCAGTAATTCACGAGCTCATTTTATAGCTGTATGTAGTTGAGCTGAAAACAGGTTAAGTCGGAGTGTGTGCCATTACTCCCATCTTATAAATAATTGCACACTGTGGGAAGTATCGTTGCAGAAAGAAAATGGTCTTGAAAACTGAACAAGGGGAAGCCAGTAGAGAAAATCTTTACCGAGAATTGTTTGGACAAGTTGTAATGTTACTTCAATTTCATTTTCTTATTACTAAGCTAACGGAGCTGGTTTTACTTTTCATCTTTTATTATACATTTCATAAATCTCCTGAGTTGCTTTGAGTTATTTTTAGAGCATGGTATGCCAACAGCAGTATTTTGAAGAATACGTCTTTCTTAGTTTGCATTTATAGTCATAAACAGTATAGTTTATATTTTATATATCCTCCCTCACTCCTCCTCATATAGTAGAATTGAAGAGATATGATGAACTTTGTTCATAGTAGAAGGTTTAGGGAATTCTTATTTAAATGTTTCTTCCTGCTTTAAAACAAGAGAAAGACAGAATAATCGGTCATGATATAGCTGCTAGTTCCGAAGGGCTTAAAAGATAGTGTTTGGGGGAAAAAGAGGGTATAAACTATCTCCTAGACAGCTACTGTGTTAAATGTGGTGTGGTTCTCTTATCTTTTACTTTGCTTTCTTTTCTCAGATAAATAATTCAGAGCATTTCAAAGTGTGTCTTCTTTTTTTAATGCTCAGCACTTCAGTGGCGCTGCCCACATTAACAATGATGGAAGTTTCCTTCCAAGACCAGTCCATCTATTTGAAAATGTGTATGACCACTTAGGGTCCATTTAGTGTCAGACTTGCTGCTTGCTTCACTTTATGGTGATGTAGTATTAAAGCCAACCAGTTGAGGTGCAAGCACACTTATACAGTGGGCTCATTTTGTTCCTAAGCCACACATGCCACCTGAACGGCTCTCTAAGAAGAAGTGTTCTCCTGTTTGTTTTAATGCATCCACTCTCCAGTCAAGCACCTGAGTTTGCATCTTTAGGCAATGCTCTTGGCACTCTGTAATGCCACATTCAATCAGGAAGACTTTTAAACTATCTTTATTCACTTAAATACTTAATTTTTTTATAGAATACTGCTTCACTAGTATATAATACATATAAAGACCTTTCTAGAATTATCAAGACTCATAGTTAAAAATATGATAATTGCTTTTTGAACATGAAGGTAGCTGAACAATATGATAATGACTTTATATATAACAGTTTACTTAATATTTAACATGCTTGTAGAGTAGGAATTATAATGCCATTCTACAGATAAGAAAGGAAAAGTTAGATTCCATGCCTTAGTTTTACAAAAATGCTGTTTTACAGCGTATGAAATAAGTCTGATATAGGAAGACAGATGATATGAGATGTTACTTCTATTTGGAATTTTAACAGTAAAACTCATAGAATCAGAGTATAGAGGTAATGCTATGATATCGGTGTAATGGAAATGGATGAATGTTAGTTCCCAATATTGAGATTCTATAGTGAAGAGATGAGTGAGTTCTGAGACCTAACTAATGTAGGAATGATGGCTAGAGTTAACTACATCCTACATTTCCAAAGAGATAAGATTAAATTAAAATAAAAAATTAAAGGTTAGTTGGGAGGGGAAACATTAGTTTCTTCTGTTGATATCACAAAACGGCCTGACAAAAACCACATGGAGGCAAAGGCTTTTGTCCTGGCTCCCAACCCAATGTACAATCCTTCATGGCCAGTGGCTTAGGGTGACAGGAACAGGACACAGCTGGACAGATCTCATCATCTGAGAAAGCAGACAGAAAGGTAAATATAGACATCTGTTCAACTCTCTCTCCTCTCTCTCTCTCTCTCTCTCTCTCTCTCTCTCTCTCTCTCTCTCTCTGCCTGTAAAGTCCGGGATCTCAGGCAGGAAATGGCACCACCCACCAGGACTGGGTCTTCTTGTTTCACCTCTGTACATCCTCAAAAGCATGCCCAGAGGCCTTTCTCCCATGTGACCCCTGTCAAGCAGACAGTGCTAACCACCACAGTGAAGTGATGGATATTTAATTACTTTGATCATGGGTATCATTGCCCAATCTGTACATATATTAAAACATCCTGTGGTGAATGTTGAAAGACACAGTTTCATTAAGCAAGAAAATATAAATGTTGATTTGTTAGATAAACAATTACACACTTAACAGTGAAGCCAGAATGGAATATGAATTGTGCATAACTGCAAAGCCCAAAGTCTGTGGGGAAAAAATATAATTTTCTGTCGTGAGTGTGTGTGTGTGTGTGTGTGTAAAACATAGAAATGAATCTTCCTTTAAACTCAAGAGAAAGACACTCGTTGAAACCCCATTATGTTAACTGAACAAATCACAAAAGGAAAATGCTATGAGGAAAGAGTGATCATGGAAAGGGCTATGACAAGAGTTATCCCCAACTATGACCAGACCTGTATAAGTTCCAATGTCCCTGCAGCTTCACAACATATATGGGAGTATGACTCTTATCCATAATATGTTTGATATGCTAGACACTACAAATTCCTATATAGAATTATTTTTCTTATACTTTTTAAAGATAAAATACAGCTGGCAACGTAGGTAAAAGAAGAGACGAATAGTTATAAATAACAAAATTTTTAACAAGATGCCATAATAAAAATTATGTAAAGGTATCCCCTTGCTCTCAAGTATTGTACTAAACTCTGTTCATCTTTCTTTTTTTATCAATGAAGCATTTTTTTATTTTTCTCCACAGTTTATTTTATTTATGTATTTATTTATTAAAAATTTCCACATCCTCTTCGCCTCCCTTTTCCCTCCCCATCCCTACCTCCCCTCCCTTTCTAGTCCTAAGAGCAGTCATGGTTCCCTGCTCCATGGTAAGTCCAAGGTCCTCCCCCCTCCATCCAGGTCTATAAAGGTGAGCATCTAAACAAACCAAGCTCCCACAAAGTCAGTCCATGCAGTAGAATCAAAACCCAGTGCCATTGTCCTTGGCTTCTCAGTCAGCCTTCGTTGCCAGCCACATTCAGAAAGGTCTGATCTCCAACGTATACAAAGAACTGAAGAAATTAGACACTAAAACTCTAATTAACCCAATTTAAAAATGGGGTACTGAACTGAACAGAGAATTCTCAACAGAAGAACTTCGAATGGCCAAAAGACACTTAAGGTCATGCTCAACCTCCTTAGCAATCAGGGAAATGCAAATCAAAACAACTTTGAGATACCATCTTACACCTGTCAGAACAGCTAAACTCAAAAACACCAATGATAGCCTATGCTGGAGAGGATGTGGAGTGAGGGGAACACTCATCCATTGTTGGTGGGAATGCAAACTTGTGCAGCCACTTTGGAAATCAGTGTGGCGGTTTCTCAGGAAACTGGGAGTCAACCTACCTCATCTTTCTTATGATATGTCAGATGATGCAGTGTCAACAAGATTTGAGCAACAGGCATAGTGACATTGAGTGTAATTACTACCTAAGGGTCCCCTTAACACGTCATATTTCAGTACTGTAAAAGCGGATGTGATTACAAAGGCTTTATTTCATTCCTATTAAGAATGTAACAGATATCCAGCATGCATATGTGGATGATAAATCTTCAGGAGTGGACACAGTAGACAGTACAGGATCTGATGCTACTCTAGAAGATGCACAAAATAAAACACAGTGTTGTGTTGTTGTTGGTATCTGAACTCTGTGAATAATTTACACCATGGATAGCTGTAACCATGATTAAGTGAGGGCTACGGTAGTCGGTAAGCCATTATATTTTGCAGTGTATGTGATTCCCTAGAGGCTCATGAAGTCCTGGCTTCTTAATGCCAGAGCTGGAGTTTGCAGTGGTCAGCACCAGAGCAGAGTTTTGAAAGGAACCCTTGAGCAGCTGGTTATCCGTCAGTGAGGTACACTAGCTCAGGGTCCAGGCTCTGGTCAAATTCTCTAGATCCCACATGAAGCACTTACAAGTGCTTACCAGTGAATATGGGCTTGAGCTTCTTCTACCACAGTGACTATACCTGTACAGAGGACATAACGTCACAGAGTTGTAGAATGCTACAATGGGTTCACTGAACCCATAGTCTTAAAATGTGTACTGGACTGAGGAGATGCTCAGTGGTATAATTTGCATTCCTCCAGTCTCTTATTATCAATACAATTGACACCTTTTCTGCCTCTACACAATCTGAGTAAAGAATCTAATGAAACCTCAGAATTTTGGGGACCCTACTCCCCATACTGAGTCGCCTGGCCCAGCCTTCATACATAGGGAGGTCCTTAGTCTTACTACAGCTTCATATGCCATGTTTTGTTGTTGCTCATGGGAGACCTGTTCTTTCCTAAACAGAAACAGAGGAGTGTATTGGGATGGGAACAGAGGGGGTAGTGGGGAGTGACTGGGAAGAGAAGAGAGAAGGGAATTCGAAATTTTGTATTTCATCCAGTATCCCAACCTATCAGTTCAACCCAATTTTTCCATAATTAATAAATTTAAATTAGGTTGTCTAATATCATTAGTTTCATTTTCTTAAGTCATGTTATGTTCTAGTTTTCTAGACTGTGAGAAAATAAAATTGTTACTGCTTTTAAAATATAGTTCATATCCTTTGTAAATGGGCCAGTCACGGTCCCATTTGACTGTAACTGCAGAACTCAGGAGTCAGAGGCAGGGCAATTGCAGCAAGTTTATAAATCTCCTTTATAAATCAACATATAAAACTTTCACTATCAAAATGGATCATGGAATTAAGAAGAACAGAAATAAAGGGCATTTCAGGCACTCTGGGGCGAGAAAGAGAAAGGGAAGAAATAAAAACCCTGGTACAATGAGCTTCTTTGTGTTTTGATTTACGTTGCCCCATCATCAAGGAATTAATGGCCTTTCCTCTGGCAGACAGTAAGAAACCCAAGCTTCACAGTGTGGCCTGTACTGTTTTGTAGATATCTATTAATTACCTTTTTATGTTAAGATGGCGCCGTTTTAGTCCGATGCAATGCCACTGTTTTCTGTGATCTTTAGACTAAGTCAAAAGTTTGCAAATTTATCTCCTCGCTGAAATAGGTGTGACTGCACCCCAGGGTACATTGGCGAGCACTGCGACATTGATTTTGATGATTGCCAAGATAACAAGTGCCGAAACGGTGCCCACTGCACGGACGCGGTGAACGGTTACACGTGCGTCTGTCCTGAAGGCTACAGGTGAGGACATGATGGCACGTTTCTATGTAGGGGGATAGTTCGAGGACTCTAGCGCATCTAACCTAATCGAATTTGTCTTTCTGTTTCCCAGTGGCTTGTTCTGTGAGTTTTCTCCACCCATGGTCCTCCCTCGCACCAGCCCCTGTGATAATTTTGATTGTCAGAACGGAGCTCAGTGCATCATCAGGATCAATGAGCCAATATGCCAGTGCTTGCCTGGCTACCTGGGGGAGAAGTGTGAAAAATTGGTCAGTGTGAATTTTGTAAACAAAGAGTCCTATCTCCAGATTCCTTCAGCCAAGGTCCGGCCCCAGACGAACATTACACTTCAGGTGAGTTGTCCCCTCCAAGGAGCTCAACTGATTGGGGGTCACATTTACCTGACTGACACGGGGAAGAAAATCTTCCCTGTGTGAAAAGCTTCAGAATTCTTCCTTTCAAGAGGCAGTATGTTAATTCACTAAAGGATGAGGAGTGGGGGGGGGGGCATCTGTTTTAAAATTGCCACTCTATTTTATACTTTAAGTGAAGTTGTGCCCATTAATTTTTAGAGTTCTGCCCTTAATCTCTGCACATGGGAACTGTGTTTTGGGAAACTTGCCGCTGAGAAGCACACAGCTGAGGCACAGCATCTTGACTTGAACATCACCTGTAACTCTCCACACAGAGCCTTGAGGAAAAGGCATGAAATTAACAAACATTTTTATGTCTTGCTACTAAGACAATTGCCATTAAGCAAAATTCTTGTACCCCTAATGTATGAATTGTACTAGATTAGGGATAATATATGTACAGTATTTTGGACAAATTGGGCTACATTCTTGCTTAATAAGTAAATGAAATTATTTAGTATATTTTAAATTTAAATGAACTTTGACCAACTTCCAGCGACTTTTCCCTTCTTTTATTTATTTATACTTTTTGCTGTGACACTGAAAATAGGGGCAGGGATTCTGAAATTATGAGGCAAGAACCCTGGGAGGGAGGCAGGTTTCATTTAAGTATCACTCTTCACACCCCAGCTTCTAGTGCTTGCCATGTTGAATAATTTTGTGAAGTTCACTGGTGTTGGTTCTTTTAATTCCTAACTTACACTTAAATACTTCAAAAGTCCCCAAAAGAATTAAAAAAGGTAATGTAATAGCAGATGTAGCCGATTTATCTCTACATGACATGAGTGTAAATAACTTTGTATGAGAATCCATTTTGCTTAATATAGTCACATTTAGTATATGCCAATAATAAAGCTTGGAGTAGGTACAAAACAAATCAAAATAAAACTACAGACACATAAAAATGCCCAATAAAGACAATTCTCACATGACATCTAACACGTTTCCTTAAATGGTTATTATTGATTTTCTAAATTTTTTTTGATTTATTTACAACAGAACAATTCACAGACAAGTTACCTTTAAGCAGTAATTTCAACAAGTATTATTTTCTCATAACCACCAGACAAACCGTAGTGAAAAGCCCTCACTCACTTATTTGCCTGTTTCTTTGGATGAATACATTTGGTTGACTGTGCATCCTAACATCAGGGCTACCTCCTACTAGATTGCCACAGATGAAGACAGCGGCATCCTCCTGTATAAAGGTGACAAAGACCACATTGCTGTGGAACTCTATCGAGGGCGAGTCCGAGCCAGCTATGACACCGGCTCTCACCCGGCTTCGGCCATTTACAGGTGAAGATCTCTCAATTACTGGTAAAGGTGAAAAAGCTTATTCAATAAAGAACTGCTTCTCTTCTACAGTCCTATAATGGGAAGGGATGGGAATATTTTGGTGATAGCAGGTGGCTTAATTCTTTATGAAATTCTATGGCAGGATACTGGAGATTGAGTAACAAAAATATCAGAATTTTTTTTATATAATTTACAAACTAGAAAATCCAGGATAAGGATAGCCACATCTCGTAAAGTTGAACCTTTGCGCGGTATCATCTTCTCGTAGAATGCAAAATGGCAACAAAAAAAAATATGCCAAAGATGGGGGAGGGAAGAGGGCTGATCTTTGCCTTCCACAGGGACCCACTCAAGCTAACTAATCCTCTCCATGAAGCTTCAGGCTTTACCCAAGGGAGAGTAGAGTCCTTATGATCTAATTACCTCGTAGTAATTACCTCATAGCTTCCCTACTCTTCAACACTGTTGCATTGAAGTTTAGATATTTTATGCATGGACGTAATGATATACTCATGCTATTGTGTAGCCTAAAACATAAAAACTCAGAGACAGATATTGAGGTTCAAGCTGAAAGATCAGAGAAGCAAAGCAAACTACCACAAGAGAGTGCTTAATTCTACGGAATCTTCAGACTGAAATGAGAATGAGTTCCTGTCTCATCTGGCCTTATATTCCTCTCTTGTGCTGGTAATAAAGATGGGCACTACCACAGCCCAGACTCTATGGCTAACTAGTGTGGCTGCTGGTATTAAAGGTATGTGCCACCATTGCCTTGCCTAAATGGTTGACTAGCGTGGCTAATTTTGTGCTCTGATCTTCAGGAAAGCTTTATTTGTTAGATCATAAACAAAGTATCCAATAATCCTTGATCATGCAGCAGACATTACTTCACATGTAAAACTAACAGTAAAAATCATCTTTAGATCAGGCTTCATAATCTAAAGCATAGTTTTTCCAGGAAGGTAACTTAAATGAATTAAGCAAGTCAATTGTAGGGAAAGACTAGGCTCTCATACTTTCATTTTTTAAAAGTCTGCTTTGTGAGTATATGAGACAAAGAACTCTGAGGTAGGCAGTGTAGAAGAAGTGATTGTGATGATAGGGAAAGAAAATCAAATCTCTCTTCTACTCAGTTCTCTTTGGTTGCTGTCATGCAACATATTGTTCCAAGTCTGTCGTTCGTTTATTTTCTCACTATGATTTTTTTTCTTTCTTTTACACGTTGATTCACATTGTTGTAGTTGTTGTTGTTTCAAGACAGGGTTGCTCTATTTAGTCCTGTCTGTCCTGGAGCTCTCTCTGTGGATTAGACTGGACTCTAACTAAGATATCTACCTGTCTCTGCTTCCTGAGTGCTGGAATTAAAAGCCTGTATCACTATGCCTAAATTGATTCACATTTACGGCACCATATTTATGAGCAAAACACATCTGTAGGTCAAAAACACTTGACTACAAATGACTGTGTGTTGATTCTGACTTAACATATAGTAAATTGTCTCAATCTTATTGGTGTTATCTGTGCATATACGAATGTGCTTCAAATGCCTCCATGAGCTTATTGGCTCCTTTATAAACAATTCTGGGAAAGTAGATACTAATTGAAGCCATGAGTGGAATTTGATCAGTTCTGTTGGTGGTGAGCTAGCCCACTTGGGACTATTTTATTTAGAGCATGGAAATAGATACATAATTATTTATTTTCAAGTGGAAAACAATGCCCCCAAATGTTGACGAATTACTGCCAACATTATATATTTTATATATATATATATATATATATATATATGTTATATAAACATGTTATATTTATAATATATATAAATATATATCTTTAAACTTTAAATTATATAGTGTTTCAGCCCATAAAAAGATTCTATACTGTGGTTCATTTTATTTTATTTTATTTTTGCTCTTTCATGACAATGAAGCAGTATAGAACTCTTCCAAACCATAGTGAAGATTCTTGTGCTGGCATACTAAAGCTAGTTTTCACATACAATATACCAAAATATTTCTAGATAAGTTGAAGGAACTCAAGTAATTTTATCCAGAAGAAAACTTACTGGAAAGGGCATTTTGTGTTTGTTTGATTCTATGTTCATTGCCATTTTTTGCCTCAATTAAAAATAGCTTATGTCCTGTGACAGTTATGAAAAGAATACCATGTTGCTCTCCACTCTCCATTTAAAACCAAAAACTCATGTTTCTGTTTTAAAAATTATAGAATAAGAACATGTATTATCAGGTATTGGCACATCAGTTCTATTTAATTCCTGTTTCTCAAATTAAAACACACAGTTTGAGAAGGCTATTACTTTATTTTATAGTTTAAAAAGGCAGGAAACAATTACCTAAAGTTCAGGTGTATATTAATTGAAAATGTTTGAAAGTTAAGAAAATTAATAATATTTCTAAGGACAAAAAGGTAAAAAGTTAGGGAGGAAAGAAAAATGGGGAAATAGTGGCAAGAAATTGAGATTATCAATGTGTAATATTCAATTTAAAATAAAAACTGGAGGTAGACTGTAGTGGCATGCACCTTTGATTCCAGAACTTGGGAAGCAGAGACAGGTGAATCCCTGGGAGTTCAAGGCCAGCCTGGTCTACCTAGGGAGTTCCAAGATGGCCAGAGCTATATAATAATAGAGAGACTTTGTATAAAAAAAATTAAGATAAGAAGTGCAAAAGGTGTCAGAGGAGATTAAAGGAATGCAAGCACTCATATTCCAGGTCTTTACATGAAGTAACGATGGACATTAAAAGGGAGGGTGTGGAAGCATGATTTCTGCATGGATGCCACCACACATTATTTTGAGTTTTAGACCAATTGAATGTCATCAACACTCAAACAAAATCATGAAATAATAGAGAAAGGACTATGCCCCGGAACTGTGGGTTAAATACATCATCACCGTCTAATCTTCACCTAAACATGCAGATAATAAATAATAGTTCTTTCCTGTGGGATTATGTGGGAAAGCAAAATAAGCAAACTAGTTAAACAATATAAATAAATAAATAATAATAATAGCTTCACTAATTAAAAATTCCCCAAAATTACATTTTGTTTTAAGTTTCTTCAGTACAAAGCCAAATGTCCATCACATTCTTCATTCACAGGCTGGCTCCGTAGCATCTGCAGTGGGATTGGTTTGTGTCTAATCCTCTCTTTCATTCCGTGTACACTGTGCAGTTAAATACTGCTCTGACTTTCTGGCTTATCTCCAAGAGTCACAAAATGGTACAGCCTTTGTGCTTGTTCCCCCTTTTCTAGAAGTCATGAGAGAAAGACTCCACTTCCACATTGCTTTAGTAAAAACCCATCAATAGCACCAGCGCAGCCAGCCAGCTCTTGTGAGTTACTTTATATCCAGTTAAATTAATGTTCAAATCATATTCCTTATCAACTCTCTAGAACATTATTAAAAGTATATAAATTTATGTTGCATTAAAGGACGTAATTAAGTGTTCTTATTTTGGATAACTGTTCTTGTTTGTGTTTGGTTTCCTTGCTTGTGATTTATGTGATGTAAATTTCCCTTTGCTGAGCGACATTTTTTTTTCTACATTATGCATTGCTTAGTGCTCTTGAGGAAATTGCATATGGAAATTAACTTTTTTACATTAAGTACACTTTATCATTTGATTGATTCCTTCTCAACTTTGATTAAGGTGAAGTTTATTTTGGGATATTAGAGAAAATCATGTATCTGGTTATTTTTCCTATAGGATTATTCTTAGTGGTGTCAGTTATTGTTTCAAATAAATTAGCAGAACGATAATGGTTTCATAGGGTCAGATATACATTGATATATTTTCCTTCAAAGGTGTTTTTTCTCATCTAGATAGAGAGAATATTGTTTTTAATAAAACATGACTTTTTTCTTTGATTAAACAAAGGTCATTTTTTTCTGAGAAAATAACAGCACTGTAAACGCCATCAGCTGCTATTTATAAATTAGAAAGGCTTCAAATAGTTCAGCAGATAAGCGCACTAGCTGCTTCCAGAGGAGTGCCAGCATCCACAGTAGGAGCGCCTCTGACCTCTGCGGATATCTACACTCACGAGCATACACCCACACGCAGGCATATACACATAATTTGTAAAAAATAAAAAATAAAGTTTTAGAAAATTGAGAGAGTAGCTAACATACCTATGGATGTTGATGAAGCAGAAGATGTAAATTTTTTTGCTTTTTCAGTACTAATAAAGTAGCTTGTCTTACCACTTATTTCTTATATCATCACAGAAGACTGTGATCTTTTTAAGAAATGTATAGATTTCCAGCACCAGGAATACAGGCAGTAAGAGGAAAATACTGCCCCCCATGCTTTATTGATTCTGGGGTCTCCAGGGTGTGAAATATTTTATGTCTTATGAACTCACAGGCAATGCTGTCTTCCATTGAGTAGACTTTAATAACAACTTGTGTGAGCAGAATAACTTAGGCTGTGTTTCTGACCTAAAATGTGTGATCTCAGGCTTGATGCTGTCTTAATATCAGCCACGTCCATGACATTTCTAATGCAGGAGTCATCAAATGCTATGCATACAGACTTTCTCTCCCCCAAAGGCTGATTGCTTTGCCTTACAAACTACAGGGATCTGATCTACAATAAACAAATGTGAAGTAAGCGGTGTAACAAATGACGGAACACATGCTCTCCGGGACGGTATCACCATGAGCAATGTAATGTTGAGCAAGTTATGCCGTCTCTCTGAACATCTTCCATTTCATCTCAAGGGTTAGAACCGCACGCTGTTGGGAAATGTTGAAAGGGTACATACAAATGCCACAGTGCTGGACGGGACATCTGGGAGGCTCCCAATACCTCATACTGTTGGTGGTTTGTGGATTGTCCTCATCTCTGGACAATGGTGCATAGAGATACTGCTGAGAGCCCCCTGTCTCACAGACTGTAGTTCCCTTCTGTCCATTTCAGTAGATTTTATTTATTGAATCCGTTTATATAAATACTGACAAAAATACATTATTT